TTTTGGTATTTTTGAGACAGGGTCTAGCTTTGCAGTACAGGCTGGCTGTGAACTCACTAGGTAGCCTAGGCTGGCCTCAAACTCACAGCAGTACTTACGCTTCAGCCTCCCAAATGCTGGGATCCTCATTGTAAATTTTAAATATTTCTGTAAGCGAAAAATTTCATAACAAAAAGTCAAAAATAAGCAAGCCAGACATGAGGGTACATGCCTACAATGCCAGCACCTAGAAGACTAAGGCAGGAGAATAAGTAAAATGCCCTCAATTTAAAACAAACAAACAAGAAGTGCCTCGTCAAAGAAGTCAAGTAGGGCCAGGGAGATGGCTCAGTAGAATAAGCACTTGCCTGGCAAGCGCAAGGTCCTGAGTTCAATCCCCAGTATCGCAAAAAAAAAAGAAAGAAATCAAGTAAGAAATGACCAAAGGCTATTCTTTCTCTACTCAGACCCAGTAATGTAACAAGGACAAAACACCAGGCAGAAGGCCCATTCACAGCAGAACGAAACGAACACAAGTCTCTTCCCACCTCTTTCCCTTCAGCACTGGAACTTACCTCTGGAAGATGGATCATGTATGCTCCTCAAATTGTTTCCTGCTACCATCTCCTCTTGAGAGTTCTGTGGGTCATTTTCTTCCAGGGTGGCCTTGAGGGAACAACCCTGTGAAGCATGTCGCAAACGCTCGGGCCGTGCCCTCTTGAACTGCTGCATCCGCTGAAGAACCAGCTCTGCGGTGCGGCGTTTGGAGGGACTTGGCTCAGCTGCTGTCATCAAACAGGGCAGAGGGGGCTGGGAGTCATCACAGAGAGCGTTCGCTAGCAAAAAGGAAAAGATTCATAGCATGTTCTATCTGGAAAAGGAAGACTTTCCAACTGGATACAAGGTAGAAGCAAATTTACCAAGGCTAGGTTTGACTGGCAAGTATGAGTAGGAATGACTGCTTGCTAGTAACCTTACTGCTTGCAGCAGTATAAATGTAAATATCATGACAAGAGTGAAGTAGGGAGCTGGCCATTGTAGTACATGCCTGTAATCCCAGCACTTGGGAGGCTGATCCAGGAGGATCATTATAAGTTCAAGACAAGGGGCCAGAGATATAGCTCAGCAGTGTAAGCACCTGCCTGGCAAGCACATGGTCATGAGTTTAATTCCTGGTACCACAAAAAAAAAAAAAAAAAAAAAAAAAAAAAAAAAAAAAAAAAAAATCACTAGCAAGTTCAAGACAAGCCTGGGCTAGAAAGCCAGCCTGAATTACAGAGCAAGACCCTATCTCAAAAAGATTAAAAAAAAAAAAAAATAGCAAAATAAAAAAGGAGAGAAGCAAGGAGTGACTATTGGGGAACAAAGGTTTATTTTTAGGGCAATGAAAATGTTCTAAATGTGGTAGTAGTAATGCTGGCACAATTGTGAATACTAAAAACCAATCAACTGTTTAAGACATAAATGTGAAATGTGAATCATGAGTGATGACACATGCCTATGATCGAAACACTCTTGGAGGTTAAGGAAAGAGGATCACAAGTTCAAGTTAAGCCTGGGCAACTTAGTGAGACTGGGGGTAGGAGGTGTAGCTCAATGTGAAGGCATTGGATTCAGTACACCAATGGTTCAATGCCCAGAATTGGGGGAAAAAAATGTAACGGCAAATATTTCTTTCTAATCTGTTCTTTTAATTTGGGATCCACAGGGGCCGGGGAGATGGCTCAGTAGAACAAGCACTTGCCTAGCAAGAACAAGGGCCTGAGTTCAATCCCCGGTTCCGCAAAAAAAAAAAAAAAAAAATTGGGCTCCACAGATGGCCTTCAGTGGAGTGCCACAAACCCCCTGAAGTTGCCTGTCAATTTTGCAGGTATACATGTGGCTTTCCAGGGGGTAACACAGACCTTTCATCAGATGCACAAAGGCAGCATGAAGGATTAAGAGAGCCTGTGTACATGACTGAAGTTTTATAATAGTCTCTGCCAGCTAAACTTTTCACTGTTCCTGAGAGCCGTTTCCAAACTAGAAAAACAAAACAATATTATTTAAAATCAGGAAGTGAAGGTGAGGAAAATTTAGAAACAGAACTCAGGAACCCAAAGAGCTTGTGGTGCATTATATACGCAAGGGTGATTGTCAGCTCTGCATGAGGAATGTATCCTAAACATCTGGCTCAGTACACCAAGGGCAGCAGGGCAAGAAAGGTGCTGTAAACAAGCAAACAAAAAAAAGTCTTTGGGGGAAGAGAAAGGAACATCCTGAATACAACCTCAGACTTAAACCCATACTGCACCCTCCTACAGCCTTCAGTAGCCAAACATGCTGGCTCATTCAACTTACCCGCTTTGTAACAAACTCAAGAAACAAGGGGCTTAGTTTCATGTCTGTGTAAATTCTCAAAAACCAGAGGGCTCCAAACATAACCATGTGAAATATTCACACAGAAGTTGTATTTCTTAAAAAAAAAAAAAAAAAAAAAGAAGTTGGATTTCTTATGATTATGGCTTAAAACAAGAGTCGAAAAACTGGTCCTGGGGCTGGCAACTTGTTTTTATAAATAAAATTTTATTGGTACAAAGCCACATCTATTCATTTCCATACCATCCTATGCAGCTGCATTCACCGCAGCAGCAGAGTTAGCTATCCTTCTATGGCCCTAGGGAACTGGCTCCAGGGCCCCCTGTGAATTTTTAGGGTAATGAAAATGTTCTAAATGTAGTAGTAGTGATGCTAGCACAACTGTGAATACTGCAGATATTAAGTTCTCTTATATAAAATAGTACACTATTTTTATATAACCTAGGCCCATTCTTTCCTGTGCTTTCAGTTATGCCTATATTATTTATAATACCTAATACAATGTAAATGTTATAGAGTTATTACATTGTATTGTTTAGAGAATGTACAGGTTAAATACAAACAATTTTTCTCAAATATTTTCCATTGGAGATTGATTTAATCTATAGATCTGGAACCCACAGATAGCAAGTGTCACCTGCAGTTGTGGTGACTGTATGACCCTCAAAATCAAAATATTTACTACCTGGCTTTTTGTGGAAAGTCTTCTTTTATTTATTTGTTTATTTTTGGCAGAACCAGGGATTGAACTCAGGCCCTTGCGCTTAACAGCTTATTCTACTGAGCTATCTCCCTGGCCCCCAGAGAAAGTCTTCTGATTCCTGTTTAAAACAGTAACAACCAGGGGCCGGGGAGATGGCTCAGTAGAATAAGCACTTTCCTGGCAAGCACAAGGGCCTGAGTTCAATCCCCAGTCCGCCAAAAAAAAAAAAAAAGTACTTAAAAAAAAAACAGTAACAACCATGTTATGTCCACCCTGGCAAGGCCTGGCAGCGGTCCTTGACTGGTTACCTGTCTGGATGCTCTGTGCTTGATCCTGCAGCACAGGCTGATGCAGAGCAGGGGCAAGCACACCTCCGTCTCCACTCACAGGCAGAGCAGGTTCACTTTCCTGAGACTTGCTTGGCCTTTGCTTTTTAGCCCTAGGGGCTTGACTGCATGGTCGGGGTTTCTTCAAAGTGTCTGGAAGGGTTTTGCTCCTGATGGCAGACTGTTTGGTCTTTCTTGGTATGCTTCTTATCTGAGTGCTGTTTGAAGATTTTTGTGTTTTTCGCTCTCCCAACACTTCCTTTGTTCTGGGTTTTTTCACCCTTTGGAAAAAGCTGGCACAGAGTTCTTTAAAATCATCATCTGACTCATCCATCCTTGGAGCACTTTTAAGGCTTTCAGGCTGGTCTCAGGGGAGTGAGGCCTAATCTGGTGGCATGTCCTTGGGTGAGAACCTGAACCTGCACACCTGCCTAGCTGAGCTTCATTCACCACTTGGCCTCTCCAAGGTTCTCTACTACTTGCTGAGCTACTACTTGGAGAATTTGCACAGTTCACAAAACAGTACTGTTTTCCTCTTTGTAATGACTTAAATGTCTTTCTTCATATTGGATCCATGGTTAAATGACATGCTAAAAGCTTCTCCATGTAAAAGTTTATAACTCAGAATATTCTGTGCAACAGCTGCCTCAGAGATAGATTACATATGAACTCCATGCTCAGATTCTCCAGGATTTCCACGGTAATAAAGCACATGGTTTCATTTAATTTCTTACCTGTGGAAAACCAAAAACACCTAAGTGTAATTAGACAGACATTGTCATTTTATGTCAGTTCTTCCAGGAAGGTACAAGTGCACAGGGTGTATGGGAGTACCAGTACTCTGCTACATGCTCAGTACAGCCTGATTAACACTACGACTGTCCTACAGGACATCACAACATAACACAGGAGAGGCAGCTAGAAACCTTTCTCACATATTCTTCCACAAGCAGAAAAACACATATACTTTTTTGAGAAAGTCATTTTTACTGAAATCCTGCTTCTGAATGGCAGCTTCCTCAGAAACAGGATGATCCCCAAGCCTAGGAAACCTATTTCTACACTGAGGGCCCCCAGCTACCAGCTTTATCACCTGACAGAGGATCTACTAGCAAAAGTTGTAACATGAGAGAAAGATAAATGAACATGGCATCTGAACAGTCAAAACAGAAAGTCAGCTTTTCTCTAATCTCTCAGCCCACCAGAGCTCTCCCAACTCAGATGACTGGAATGCTGCCTTTGTGCTAAGGCTGGCACTAGCACCACGATAAGACAGTTTGGCACACAGCTCAGTAGATTAAAAAGTGAAAATTGAGCACTTGGGTGGCTAAGGCAGGAGGACTGCTATGATTTCCAGTCCAGCCTGAGCTATAAGGTAAGTTCAAGGCCAGCCTGAACTACACAATAAGACCCTGTCTCAAGAACAAAAAATAGGGGGCGTGGGAGCTGCCAACTTGTGGCCATAGTGGCCACATCAGAGCAGGGTGAGCCTGGAAAGGGAAGGCAGAATTAGAAGATCAAGATCACATGATGTTGGCATAGGAGGATTTATCATGGTGACTTTAGGATGCTGGTTCCATTACAGATATAATTATGCAAAGGAAAGAATCCAGGAAAGAACTGTCAGAAAAGGAATGAAAAATAAGATTTTACATGAAAGCACCCAGGGGCAAGGGAGATGGCTCAGTGGACTAAGCGCTTCCCTGGCAAGCACAAGGGTCTGAGTTCAATCCCCAGTTCCACCAAAAAAAAAAAAAAAAAAAAAAAAGGAACACTATACATGAAAGCACCCACCTTGATCTTGAAAGAAAACAAACCAACAGCAACAACTAAGCAATATGAACACAGAAAAGCAGAACAGAACTCCTTGAAGTCAGTGTGAACAATGCTGGGATCAACTACACTGAGCATTTTATACATACAATCCAAAAGCCCTGTTTACTTTGAGTAAATACAGTATGTGTAAACTGTAAAGATAAATAAATTAATTTTTTAAAACAGAATCACCCAATGGCAGAAAGTTCTTCACTTCAAATACAGTAAATCTGACTAATCATGTGGATTTCCAGAATGGGCATCTATCCCTAAAAGCGACTTTATGTATCTTCTCCTTAGAGAGGCTTCCCACTTCTTCGGGTATGTCCTCTCCACACTCTCAATCATCACACATGGTTTTTACAGTGGCATTTAACAGATTATAATATGTAATATATAACACTTATTTAATGTTCACTGTGTGCCAGACACTTCCAATTGCTTTCTAAGTTTTTAATTCATTTAATTCTTACAATAATCTGAGCAATAGAATCTGATATCACCTTTTTTCTCCAGTCCTGAGCAACACTCTCAGCACCTTTTTATTTTTTATTTTAAGACACTAACTTTGGCAGTAACAATACACAATGTACTAACCATTATTACTCTCCTAAAATCTTGTTTTGAGATTTTGTAAAATAAATAAATAAATAAATAAATAAATGAATGACACGGTCTTGCTAGCTGGCTAAATTACCCAGTCTGAGCTTAAACTTGCCATCTTCCTGCCTCAGTCTGGGATTACAGGCCTATGCCACCCACCATATCCAGCTTGTCATTCTTTCTTTACACTGCTAAGTGTCACACAGCTTTTGAAGTGACAGGGCAGAGATCAAACACAATGTGATTCTAAAGTAACTGCTCCTATATTTTTGTTCATTGACTATCAGTTCAACACTGAGGAGGACAAAGACTTAGCTACTTTGCTTTGTATTCCCTTTAGGTGATCTGGTACCTGACTTGTAAAAAGTGTTCAACAACTATTTTTTGAATTCATAAACGGCAAAGAGTTTGACATAGAGTGAAAAGAACGTGGTAGAACAAAAGAAAGAGGTCTGTCGGAAAAGGGAGAGGTCAATTCACAAGGGCCTGGAACGCCAGGCTAAAGCAAACTAAAATTTACCCTTTTGGATATGGGGAGTAGACAGAGCAAACTTCACACTGTGTTGAGTCGCAAAACAGTCCATCTCTGTAGGTGCTCAATCAATTTTGCTGAATGTCGTTATAAAGGATCCTCACGAGGCTGCAAGCTCCCAGAGGATAAGGGACTCCTTAGCTTCCTCCGTACCTACCCGGCACCGCCTGCCAGCAGGCGCGAAGGGAATGAATGAATCAGGGTGGGGCGACCCTCCCGCCTTTGCAACCTGGCTTCCTACGAAAAGTGATGAGGGTGGTAGACCTGGGGAAGAGCTGTCAGGGACGCTGTTGGGCCTAAAGCCAGACAGAGTAGCCCGATCGGCGGACTGGCTCCCAGGCCAGGACCACCGTGCTATCCAGCTCCACCCTCTCCGGCTTCCTCCAGGCCCGCCCCTCTCCGCAGCTACAGCGGGCCAGGACTGGGGGCCACGGTGGGATACGAGCCAGGATGGTTCCAGCCCCTTGGAAGAGAGAGAACAGCCGGAGATGACAGGCCACCCTCCTCCGGGGCGCGGACTCCCAGCCCAAAACCCCGACTCCTCCTACCTCTGGCGCCACCGCGGCACCTTCTCAACGGAGCCCCAAGCGCCTGCGCATGCGCAGTCGGCGCCACTCAAGAGACGAGTTGCGTAGGCGCACAGCGAGCGCGCACGCGGGGGGCGGGGCGTGTCTTTTTCCCATCATGCCTCTACGGCGGCGCCGCGCTGTTTCCGGACTACTTGGAACTGGGCGGAAGCGCTGTTTGGCGGGCTGTGTGGTCATCAAGTGAAGGTGTCGTAAGTGTTGTGGAAGTGGCCGGGTGAGTTTGAGCACTGTCCTTCTTTTAAGGAAATGTTTCTTGAGTGTGGTGGCATCCCTCTCGGAGCACGCCTGCCTCTGGAGAGCATAGAGCAGAACAGGAGAGGCACCAGATCCAGGTTCGCGGAGATTCCGTCCTATAGCCGGCCATGGGGAAGGGCGAGAGGGCCAGGCGAAGATGAAAAGGTTCACCAAGGATGAAATTTGAGGGAGTTCCGTTTATTTTTAGTACTGAGGATTGAACCGGGGGCCTTCTCACAGAATTACATGCCCGGCCTGTTTTAGTGGTGTGTTTTGAGAAAATTGGTTAAGGTGGGCTCGAACTTGTGATCCTTTTTCCTCAGCCTCTCAGAGTGTTGAGAAGAGCTTAGCTAAGAGGAACTTTATAGGGGTCGGGGAGATAGCTCAGTAGAATAAGCGCTTGCGTGGCAAGTGGAAGGGCCTGAGTTCAATCCTCGGTTCCGCCAAAAAAAAAAAAGAGGAACTTTATAAATTGTGTTTCAGATCCAACCTAAGGTCATCGATAGCTGCTGAAGATTTTGTTTTTTGAAGTTGTTGTAAGTGCGGTGTTAAAAAAAGGAGTAGGGGCCCGGGAGATGGCTCAGTGGAATAAGCACTTCCCTGGCAAGTGCAAGGGCCTGAGTTCAATCCCCGTTCCGCCAAAAGAAAAAAAAAAAAAAAGGAGTAGCAGGGGCCGGGGAGATAGCTCAGTAGAGTAAGTGCTTGCCTGGCAAGTGTAAGGGCCGGAATTCAATCTCCGGTTAAACACACACACACACACAAAACGGGAGTAGCAGAGCTACACCCCAGCCCTTGATTTTTTTTTTTTTTTTTAACATATTTAGTACAGGGTCTCACTATGTAGATCAGACTCTTAGTGATTCTCCTGTTTTCAACTCCCAAGCGCTGGGATTACAGGCACGTGCCACCACGCCCAGTCTCAATCTCCCAATCCTGGCCACTGTGCTCTGCTTAAGCAGGTGCTTTAGTCCCCTGAGCTATCTGGCCAGCCCTTGAATGTATTTTTGATTTATAATATTTTGAAGACTGTGTGCATGTTTGTGATGGAAGTGGTGGTGGTGATATTGAGGATTGAATCAAGTACCTGGGGTACATCCCCCAGGCCTTTCTAACATTTTGCCAGGTGAAGTGGCACACATCTATATTCCCAGCACTGGTGAGACTGAGACAGAAGGATTCCTGCAAGTTCAAGGGCAGCCTGTACTAAATGGTGAGACCCTAAAAATTTTTAAATTGGGCATGTAATCCCAGCATTCTGGAGGGTGAGGCTGAAGGATCACCAGCCTGTACTACCTGCCAAGATCCCAACTAAAAGAAAAAGAGAAAAGGGAGAAGCAAGATTAGAGGCCATGGAAGACACTGTAGTTCAGGTGAGAAATATTGGTGGCTTAAATTATGATTGGGATGGAGAGAATGGAGTTGCATTAAAGTGTTAGGAATGCCAAGATCTGATTGGTAGGTTTTGGGCTTTAGGATCTGAGTGCAATGTGGTTCCATGCCTAAAATAATGAATATCAGGGAAGTGTAAGAGATTAGGTTTGGAAGGTATAACACACCTGTAATCCTGGCACTCAGGAGGCTGAGGTGCAATGACCATTGTAAGTTTGGGGCCATCCTGGGCTACAAAGTGAGCTCAAGGCCAGCCTGAACTGCATAGTGAAACCCTTTCTCAAAAAGACAAAAAAAAAAAAAAAAGATTTGGAGAGAAAATGGTATGTTTTATTAATTTTTTAAAGATATAATTCACATATTGTAAAATTCACTTACTTAAATGTGTAATTCAGGACGGCTGCAGAGGTATGGAGGTCCACAGCAAGTCTTGTGCCAGCTCAAGTTCTTCATCTTCCACCCAGGAATGCTCAGGGGTCTCAGTCTCCAAAGAGCTTCTGACTGTGGGTGATGGCCCAGGAGGTATATGGGACAAGTTGCTCATCAACTCCAAGCCTAATTCCAGAAAACCCTCTACTCTTCAAACAGTTCGGATAGAGAGGAGTCCATTATTAGACCAAGTTCAGAACTTTATCCCACAGATGGCCCGGGCAAACGAAAAGCTCAGAAAAGAAATGGAGGCCACTTCTCCTGGTCATTTCAATATTGAAAATATTGACAGGACCGTAGGCAATGTTATACAAATGGATGTGGTCTTATTTGAAATGAATCAGGCAGATTCAAAAGAAGAGGATAGTTCAGAAGAGAGTTCCCAAGACAGTTCGGAGGACAGTTCAGAGTCTGAGGACAAAGATGATGGCATCACCATGGATAATATTAAACTTCCTAATTCAGAAGCTGGAAAAGGCAAGATTGAAGTTTTAGACAATCCACCAACAAAAAAGGAACAGTGAAATAAAAGAAACATTGATACATACCTGCTAATTCTGAAAAGGAATGTGGTTGTGTTTTACTTTTTTTTTTTTTTGGTGGAACTGGGGATTGAACGCAGGCCCTTGCGCTTTCCAGGCAAGCACTTATTCTACTGAGCTATCTCCTTGGCCCCATTTTACATTTTTGATAACTGGTGCACTCATCTTTTTTTTGAAACCTTAGGCAATTCAGCACAGTATATGATATGCAAGGAACTAGTTAACACTTCCAAGAGTGGAATTCCTGTAAAATTCCCGCACTTTATCTCAGTCAGCTCTTAGCTTTTCAGTAAAGATAACTGGTTTTTATTTGTATTTTTCTTTTCTTTTCCCTTCCTTTTCTCCCTTTTCCCTCCTTGGTTCCCCTTCCTTGCTTTTTCCAAGTTCTATTATACATTTTAGTCCTTATTTACTCTTTTTTTTTTTTTTCCTCAAATGCCTTCAGGGCACTTTTGGCCAGTGGGAGAGTTGTGAGGTTCGAACTCCAGCAACCTGAGGCTGACAGCTTTGTGGAAACAGCCACTTAAAGGACTGAGCTAGGGCCAGGCCCCCCCTTATTTACTCTTGATTTCTTTCTTTCTTTTTGCAGAACCGGGGATTGAACTCAGGCCCTTGTGCTTGCCAGGCAAGCACTTATTCTACTGAGCCATCTCCCCGGCCCCAGATAACTGGTTTTTAAAAGGACACACAAAAAATAAATAAAAGGGCACAGCTCTAGTTGATTTTGCATAAAGCTGTACCAAAGGGTTATGTTTTGAAAACCAGTCTAGAATTAAAAAGTCTGATTTCAGGAATAGGGGGAGAGGTATTGGAATCGAGGACAGTAAGGGCATGTTTTAAAGTGGTTTTTACTAGGCATGGTGACTCATGCCTGATGCCATTGCTGCAGCAGCCTGAAGCAGGAGGAATGCCACTTGTTTGAGGCTGGCCTGGGCTACCTAGTTGAAGACCAGCCTGAATTGCATGGTGAGACCCTGCCTCAAATAACCAAGAAAACCCAAATGATATTAATGGTGCACTGACAAGATCTTTGAATAATTTGGTAGGTATTGTTATCTTGGAGCTGTGATTAGAGGTATTGTTTTTATGCCTGGGGAGTAGCATCAGTGATGGTGGTGGTGGTATGAATTGTCACTTTATTTGGAAGGTATTAATACCTTTTCTTGATTAAAGATTCTGAACTTCCTTGCTACGAGGGGTAGTAACTGTCCAAAAAAGTTTTCCCTTTGGTTGTAATTCTAAATTACAGTGTCTCCCATAACTCATGAGTATATTTCAAACCTGTGTTCTGACCATGTTAAGATGAACAAGACACGGGGCTGGTGAGATGGCTCAGTGGTCTAAAGCACCTACTTAGAACAAGCTTAGCAAAGCACAGGGATCGTGGTTCAGTCCTCCAGCACCACATGCCAGCCAGCCCTGCCCCCTGGTGGGCTGAGCTGGCCGCGCGCGCACACACACACAAATAAATTAAAAAAAAAAAAAGATGAACAAGACAATACCCCCTAGAAAAAATAAATAAACCTCAGACAAACTAACAGTTTGAAAAAAATATGTAACAGTTTGAGCAAAGAACAATTCATGAATCAGGCCGCATTCTATAAATGGGTTCAGAGGGCTGTGCTCTGTTGCAGCATGGTTATGTAATAACACAGGCATAAAGTATAGAAGTAGCTTGATTAGTTACAGTGAACTGTTATCTTGAATGTGGTCTCCATTGGGGGCCTGGGATTGGCTGAAGCTCAGCCATTTGTATTTGGCTAAAACTTACATACTTGTTTTTTGTTTTGTTTTTTTTGGTTAAAACCTACATATTTGTTATAAAAATACATTCCCACTGTTACAGATTTTGTTGTGAGTCAAGTTTATGCACTGTGATTAAACTTCCTTTTCTAACTTTTTTTTTTTTTTTCTTGGTGGAACCGGGGATTGAACTCGGACCCTTGTGCTTGCCAGGGAAGCGCTTATTCCACAGAGCCATCTCCCCGGCCCCCTTTTCTAACTTTTGCCCAAAAGCATTTAGTTAACAAATAGTTATTTCAAAATAACTAGAAGAGGGCTGGTGAGATGGCTCAGTGGTCTAAAGCACCTACTTAGAACAAGCTAAGCAAAGCACAGGGACCGCGGTTCAATCCCCCAGCACCACATGCCAGCCAGCCCCGCCCCCTGGTGGGCTGAGCTGGCCACA